ACTACACCATCTGCTGGTCCTTCTGGTGATATTTTTATGACTATGTTAAGTTTGTAACTTAATTTTGACATCTTTTTAAAAAGTTATTTAATTTTATTTATTTTATTATTATTGTTTAGTTTGACGAGAGAGAGAAAGCAAGTCACCAGATTCAGGACTTGAACCATGGTCAGCCATGTGGGAGTCCAGCACCCTAACCCCACACCACTTGCTGATCTCCAGACATCTTTTTATTTTTATTTATTTATTTACTTATTTATTTTGAGAGGTTTTTGCTACAGGGCATGTGTGCTTGCCAGAAAAACAGAGAGACAGAAAGCAAGAAATCACTCCCCAGGGGGGATGGACACACCGCAATCCCTTCTCCTCCATGCTCCTCTTGGGATCTTGGGCACGCACGCACACATGCCCAGCGTGAGTTTAAGCCACCGGGTTCAGGATTCGAACTGCGGTCGACTACATGGGAGTCCAGCGACATAGCCATTACGCCAACTGCTGGTCCCTAAATTATTACTATTTGATTTTTTTTTTAATTTAACTATTTATTTATTTTAATTTGACAAGAGAGGGAGAGAGAGAGAGAGAAAGAGAAAGAAAGAGAGACAAAAAGTGAAAAGTAAAACTCCAGGTCTGGGACTTGAACTGTAATCAGCCATGTGGGAGTCCAGCACTCTTAACTGCTATGTCACTAATCTGTTATAGGGCATGTGCACTCACCAGAGAGACAGTGGTGGGAGAGAAAGCAAGCGGCCAGGTCCAGGACTCAGACTACCATCCACCATTTGGGAGTCTAATGCCTTAGCCACCACGCCACATGCCGGCCCCAACTTTACGGACATTTTACTTAGAGATCAAAGCCATCTGAGGGACCAGCGGTTGGCGTAATGGCTATGTCACTGAACTTCCATGTAGTCGAGCACAGTTCAAGTCCTGGACCCAGTGGCTTAAACTCACGCCACCGCCACTGGGTCCAGGATCCCAAGAGGAGACTGGAGAAGGGATTGCAGTATGGCCATCCCCTCTGGAGATTGATTTATCGCTTTCTGTCTCTCTGTATCTGTCTCTGTCTCTCTGGCGAGCGCACATGCCCTGTAGCAAAAACCTCTCAAAAAAAAAAAAAAGAGGTTTTTGTCTTGGGATGCGTGTGCTCTCCAGTGAGACAGAGGCAGCAAGAGGGAAAGTAAGAAACCATCTCCCAGGAGTAATAACTGACACCCTCTGCCGGCCCTACTAAAACTTTTAAAAATAGAATTAATGGGGGCCAGCTGGTGGCATAGTGGTTAAGCTGCTGGATTCCCACGGAGCTGACCGCTGTTCAAGTCCTGGACCTGGTGGCTTGAAACTCACACTAGGTGTGTGTGCATGCATACCCAAAATTCTAAGAGAAGAGTGGAGGAGAAGGGGTTGCAGCATGGCCATCCCCCGGGTGATTTCGCGCTCTCTCCTCTCTAGGGAGCACAGGTGCCCTAGAGCAAAGTCTCTCAGCAGACACTAAGAGTGGAATGAGTGTGAGGAAGAACTGAGAGTGGGCTGGCCGAGTGGCCGGCGGCTCGCGCTGTCTGTTGGAAACTGGGACCCATCTGGCCAATCACGGCTCAAAACCTGGCCGGTGTGGCCCGAGGAACATGCCGGGTGCGTCGTGGGTGCCTGAAACCCCAAGAGAAGAATGGAGGAGAAAGGGAGAAGGGACTGAGGTGCGGCCACCCCCAGGCTGCTTTCTCACTTTCTCTGCTGAGCACGCGCACCCTGTAGCAAATTAAAGATAAATAAATAAATGGCCACAACTTCCTCTGCTAATACAAAAGCAAGCTTTTTTTTTTTGGGGGGGAGAGGTTTTTCACTGTAGGGCGCGTGCGCTCGCCAGACAGAGAGAGACATAGAGACAGAAAGCGAGAAATCACCCCCCCCAGGGGGGATGGTCACGCCGCAATCCCTTCTCCTCCATTCTCCTCTCGGGATCCTGGGCACGCACGCACACGTGCCCGGCGTGAGTTTAAGCCACCGGGTCCGGGACGCGAACCGCGGTCGACTACATGGGAGTCCAGCGACATAGCCATTAAGCTAACTGCTGGTTCCCAAAAGCAAGCATTTTTTCGTTCAACAATTCTTTTTTTTTTTTAATTCGCCAGAGAGTTTCATAGGGACACGATGCCAGTGTCTCCTACCATAAAAACATACAGGCATACATGCCTGCCAGAGAGTTCTCTCTCTCTCTCTCCATGGAAAGGGAAAAGTCCCTTTCATGGGAAGTGTTCACACTATACTCCCTCCTCTGTTTCTTCATCTTCTTAGCATTTGGGGTTTGCACAAGTCCCTGGCTTGTTTTCCAAGCTGCTGGGTCTGGGACGTGAACCATGTGGGCAGCCATGTTGGCTCCAGCTCTGTGCAACCACCAGGCCCTGGGCTGGCCCAGCGCTTTCTTCATTCTCAGCTGAGGTTTAAGCTCCGTTGATGGCACACCCCTCTGGCCCAGCCGCTCAGGAGGCTGAGGCAGAAGGACCACGTTTAGGAGCAACTCGGACAACAGAGCAGAACTCTGTCTCCAAAAATTGTTATTTTTTTTTAAAATTTAACTTTATTTATTTTAATTTGACCAGAGAGGGACAGAGCGAGAGTGAGAGAGAGAAAGCAAGTGAGAAAGCGAGCTGCCAGGTCCAGGACTCGAATTGCCATGTGGGAGTCCAGCACCTTTAACCATCACGCAACCCTCTGGTCCCTCAAAAAAGTATTTAAAATTTTAAAAAGAATATTTTATATCGACTATATGAAATTATTGTGTTTTTGCTACTGAGCACATGTGCTCCCTGGAGAGAGACAGAGAAAGAAAAAGAGGAGAAAGAGAGGGGGAAAGTGAGAAATCATCCCTCAGCGGGGAAGGCCATGCTGTAGTCCCTTCTCCTCCGGTCTCCTTTTGGGCGCGCGTGCACACACACACACACACACACACACACACACACGTGCCCACCATGATTTTCAAGCCACTAGGTCCAGGACTCAAACCACAAAGTTGGCCCTGTGGGGTCTAGCCACCTTAACCGCCACGCCACTTGGCTGGGCGTGGGTGCACGTGCCCCTGATCCCGAGAATGAAGGGACTGCAGCACGGCCAACGCTCCGGGGAATGATTTTTCACTTCCCTCTCTGCCTGTCTCCAGCGAGCCCACACGACCTATAACAAAACTGAAAACAGACAGTGCAAGGGGAGGTGTTCGTGTTTGTTTTCAAGGTAGGAGACACTGGCATCGTGTCCCTGTGAAACTGGAAGTGGGCCCTTTTGTACAAAGGGGGACCCTTTGGAGTTCCACTTAAGCGGAGCTTATTTCCTGCCTGGCTTGTTTTCTGAAAGCATCCCTCCCGATCAATTTTGCATTTGCTTCTTCAAGGTGCCCCAGAGGCACCACCGGCCGGACCAATTTTCATGTTAATTTTTCAGGTTGCTATTTCCCAGCCACACAGGTAACATCAATTTGGATTCCAGAATCTCTCGAGGCACAACACTGGATCTGAACATCTCACCTAGGGCCTCTGTATGTTCATTGTTCTCCACCACCTCCCTACAAAGACAAACATTCTTTACCTTTTCCCTCGACTTATGACCAGCATTTCAGTCCCCTTTCATAAGGTTGTGGTCCTTTGAGGGTTCTGACCTCTCCCCTCATATAGAAAACAAAGCTGGGGTGGGGGGCAGCAGGTGGTGTGAAGGTTAAGGTAGCTGGACCCTTCCTGCAATTGTGACATGGCTGTCTCCCTGGGAGGTGACTTCTGACTTCCCCTGTCGTGTTTGTCTTGTCTCCAGTAGCTAAAAAGAAAAAAGCTCGCAGAACCCGAAGCCTGACCTGTTACAGCCACAGTCACGTCCCTCCCCCCCCTCTCCAATGGCATCTAGGGATTTCTTATTCTTTCCTGCAAACCCAGCCACACATTTAAAAAGTTCTGGTTATATTTTTGCCATAATCTCCAGGGATTTGTGGCAAGAAAGTTTCAACACTGTGGACACCACCATTCTGCTGGAACCAGAAATCTTCCCCCCACTTTTTTTTTTTTTTTTTTGGAGAGGTTTTTCGCTACAGGGCGCGTGCGCTCGCCAAACAGACATAGAGAGACAGAGACAGAAAGCGAGAAATCACCCCCCAGGGGGGATGGTCACGCCTCAATCCCTTCTCCTCCATTCTCCTCTTGGGATCTTGGGCACGCACGCACACGCGCCTGGTGTGAGTTTTAAGCCACCGGGTCCAGGACGCGAACCACGGTCGACTACGTGGGAGTCCAGCAACATAGCCATTACGCTAACTGCTGGTTCCCCCCCACTCTTCACTGGCAAATTCCTGGACATCTTTGAGATCTCGGCTTAAAGTTTAAAGAGAGGTGGTCCCTAGCCTTCTTCACCGCCTTCTAACCTAGTTTTCCCTTTTATACAACCCATGGTACCTGTTTATTGCCTTAGCTCTTAACTTGTCATTTTATTTTCATACCAAGTGTTTGTTTAATGCCTGATACACCTCCAGATTGAAAACTACACAGACAAAAATCCAATCTGTTTAGTTCAATATATTTCACTCATAGGCCTGCTTACCGAAGACACCGATAAAGTTTGCTTGTGAAACAAATAATTTTCTAAATATGTAACAACGTAGTATTAAATGATTTTTTTCAGTTGCCAGAGGGCATGTATGCTCGCCAGAGGCAAGAGAGGGAGAGGGTGGAAGCGCCCTTAACGAGGCGTGTCACGAGGCCCCAATTCTCTGCACTCCATTTCTGCAGCCTTGGTGCTTTTCCAGCCACCGGGCTGGGAGTCAGGAGCGGCCAGCCATGTTGGATCTGGCTCCCTTAACTGCTGAGCCCCGGGGCCACGCGTGAAAGGATATCTTGACACCTGTTATCGCCTCCGTTCTCCAGGAGAAAGCGTTTTCAATGGGGGAAAAGAGGCTTCTAATAGCTGTTCCTTGACTCACCTCTGAAAGGCTATCTGCCTGCGCTAACCAGCTGTCTTTTCCGCTTCAGGATGGAGATCTCCTCCCACCAGTCTCACCTCCTGCAGCAGCTGAACGAGCAGCGCAGGCAAGACGTGTTCTGCGACTGCAGCATCCTGGTGGAAGGCAGGGTGTTCAAGGCGCACCGGAACGTGCTGTTCGCCAGCAGCGGCTACTTTAAGATGCTGCTGTCGCAGAGCTCCAAGGAGACCAGCCAGCCCACCACGGCCACGTTCCAGGCCTTCTCCCCTGACACCTTCACCGTCATCCTGGACTTCGTCTACTCGGGCAGGCTGTCCCTCACCGGCCAGAATGTCATAGAAGTCATGTCGGCCGCCAGCTTCCTTCAGATGACCGACGTCATCAGCGTGTGTAAGACTTTCATTAAGTCCTCCTTAGACATCAGCGAGAAAGAAAAAGACCGCTATTTCAGCCTGTCGGATAAAGGCGCCGACGCGAGCGGGGCAGAGCGAGCCTCCTTCTACGGTGCAAGCACGAGCAGAGGAAAGAGTCCATCCGGAAGACAAAGCACTTGAGACTGTCCCAGCCTTCCGAAGTGGCTCGTTTCAGGCCGAGCAGGCGAGAAGCTCGATCGCCCGAGCCTTCCAGCCTGGCGTCCCCGCCCGCCGAAATGGACCCCGCTGCTGGCTACCAGTGCGCTCAGGGGCCTGACGCCGCGCCCACAGGTTTCCCAGGTACCTCTGCCGCCCCGCGCTCCTGGGAGACTCGTGCTGGCCGTCCGAGGTGCTGTGGGCAAATGACCCAATGAGCTTTTTCTCCAAGTCGGATTTCCATAATGAAATGTACCTCATGAGTCATGGCGGTTTCAATTCAAAATACTATCAGATAAATTTAACTGACCGTCAAAATAGTAAGCGTATGGAGGGTCAAAGCCCATGATTTTCTGGGGGGCCAGCAGATGGCATAATAGTTACATCGCTGAACTCCCATGTAGTCGACCATGGTTCGAGTCCTGGACCTGGTGGTTCAAACACCGGGCGCGTGTGCATGTGTGCCCAAGATCCCGAGAGGAGAATGGAGGAGAAGGGATTGCGGCGTGGCCATCCCCCCTGGGGGTGATTTCTCACTTTCTGTCTCTCCGTCTCTTTCTGGTGAGCGCATGCACCCTATAGCAAAAGAAAAAAAAAAACTCTCAAAAAAAAAAAAAAAGATTTTGATTATGTATACAGTATTTTCATTTAGATCTTATTTTTTCTAAGTTTAGTTCTCTCTTTCATGAGCGTGAGGAACAGAGAGAGAGATGAGCACCCCCAGCGGCTCTCACACTGTAGCCCCACTTCCCGCCGGCCGGCTCACTGACAGGGCGGCGGGGATTGTGTGCACCCGGCGTGAGCAGCGCATTACCGCTGTGGCTGGCTGGCCCTGATCTTCATTTTAGGCAAATTCCAGACACACACAGAAGTAAAGAGAAAGGTAAAATTAACCTCCATGCCCCATACCTGGTCCCAGTAACTCGGCTCACGGCCCATCGCTTCACAGGGCACCCTCCCCCTTCACCCTCCCCTTCTCTGGTAAACCTCAGCATACCGTGCTTTATAAAATAGTCAGAATATGTCCCTAAAACAGGATCTGGAGCCAGGAGGTGGCACAGTGGTGCTGGATCCCACATGGTTGGCTGCGTGGTTTGAGTCTGAACTGGTGGCTTGAAAATCACCCTGGGAACATGTCCGTGTGCACCCAAGAGGAGAAGGGACTGTGGTGTGGCCATCCGTCGGGGGCTGATTTCTTTCTCTAGGGAGCACACACACCCTATTGCCAAAACAAAGCAAAACAAAAGTAGACTCTTGGGACCAGCAGATGGCATAATGATTACATCGCTAGACTCCCACATAGTCAACCACAGTTTGAGTCCCGGACCTGGCGGCTTCAAACACTGGATGCATGTGCACGCACATGCAAGATCCCAGGAGGAGAATGGAGAAAGGAATTGTGACATGGCCATCTCCCCGGGGGGTGATTTCTCACTTTCTGTCTCTCCAGTGGCAAAAATTTCTGAAATAGAAGAGTCTTAGAAAGAAATACTGTATACTCTTACACCTGATCGAACAGAGCCGTAATTCCGTTATATCAGTAAGTAGCCAGTCAGTATTCACACTTCTCTGATTGTCATACAGGTTCTTTAAAATAATGTGGTTATTTGTAGATAATATGTTTTAAAATAACAGGCAACCTGGGACCAGCAAGTGGCATGGTGGTTAAGTTGCTGGACTCCCACGTGGCTGACTGAAGTTCAAGTCCTGGACCTGGAGGCTTGCTTTCTCTCTTTCTCACTTTCTCTCTGGTGAGCACACATACCCTGTAGAAAATTGAAAATAATAATGATGATGATAATGATAAATAAAATTGAGTAATTCTTTTAAAAAATAATAATAGGCAACCCGATTGATTTTCTTACTAATCCCATATTTCTTTTTTTTTTCTTTTTTGAGAGGTTTTTGCTATAGTGCATCTGAGCTTGCCAGAAAGACAAAAAGAAACAGAGAGACAGAGAGACAGAAAGCGAGAAATCACCCCCAAGGGGATGGCCACGCCGCAATCCCTTCTCCTCCATTCTCCTCTTGGGATCTTGGGCACGCATGCACATGCACCTGGGGTGAGTTTAAGCCACCAGGTCCATGACTCGAACCGTGGTCGACTACATGGGAGTCCAGCAACATAGCCATTACACCAACTGCTGGTCCCAACAACATAGAATCTTAATAGTGCAGGGCTCAAGTGAAGAAAACATGTTCTGTTGTCTTAAAATGTGAGGAAGGGAACTAGCAGACGGTGTGATGATTACGTTGCTGGACTCCCACGTGGCTGAGGGTGCGTGCCCTATAGCAAAAACTTCTCCAAAAAAAAAGATTTTATGTTGTCTAAATGTAATTTCAAGGGCCCATCAGGTGGTGTGGTGGTTAAGACATTGGAGTATAATCCCACGTGGCTGACCATGTGGCTGACCACCGTTTGAGTCCTAGACTTGGTGGCTTGCTTTCTTACTTCTCTTTCTGTCTCTCTCTGATGAGTAAATGTGCCCTTTAGCAAGTTAGAAAAGAATAAATAAAAATTACAAATGTAATTTTAATAATGAATTGCTAAACTTAACTGTTCTTAAATTGATGACATTTGCCTCTAGTCACAACAAACATTTTGAATATGTGTGAGTTAAAAACAAAAAAATTAAGGGGCCAGCAGATGGCGTAATGGTTACGTCACTGGACTCCCACATAGCTGACCACAATTTGAGTCCTGGACCCTGCAGCTTAGAACTCCCACCGGCAATGTGTGTGTGCACCCAAGATCCTGAGAGGAGGATGGAGAAGGGATTGCTGCATGGCCATCTCCCCTGAGCGGTGATTTCTCGCTTTCTGTCTCTCTGGTGAGCACACACTCCCTATAGCAAAAATCTCTCAAAATAAAAAACAAAAACAAAAAAATTAGAATCCTTGAAATTTGGGGGTCAGTGGGTTATGTGATGGTTAAGACGCTGGATTCCCACATGACTGTCTGCAGTTCAAATCCTAGACCTGGTGGCTCAAAAATCACTGGGTAGGGAACCAGCAGTTAGCATAATGGCTATGTCGCTGAACTCCCACGCGGTCGACCACAGTTCGCATCCCGGACCCGGTGGCTTAAAACTCACGCCAGGCGCGTGTCCGTGCATGCCCAAGTTCCCAAGAGGAGAATAGAGGAGAAGGGATTGCGCCATGACCATCCCCCCTGGGGGGTGATTTCTCGCTTTCTGTCTCTCTGTCTCTCTCTGTCTGTCTGGGGAGCGCACACGCCCCATAGCAAAAAAACCCTCCCAAAAAAAAAAAAAAAATCACTGGGTATTGGGGCTGGCAAGTGGTGTGGTGGATAAAGGTGTTGGGTTTTCACATGGCTATTCACGGTTCGAGTCCTGGACCTAGCAGCCCGCTTTCTCTCTCTCTTTCTGGTCAAATTAAAAAATAATAATAACGAGACCAGCATATGGCATAATAGCTACGTTGCTGAACTCCCATGTAGTTGACTGCAGTTCAAGTCCCAAATCCAGTGGCTTAAACTCAGGCCGGGCGTGTGTGTGTGCAAGCCCAGATCCCGAGAGGAAAAGGTATTGTGGCATGGCCATCCCCCCGGGGGGTGATTTCTTGCTTTCTGTCTCTCTTTCTGGCGAGCACATGCATCCTATAGCAAAAATCTCTCCAAAAAGAAAATAAATATAACAAATGGCATTAAATAAATAATTTATCTTTTTTAAAAGCAGTCACTGGGTGCGTGTGTGTGCATGCCCAAAATCCTGAGGAGAATGGAGAAGAAGGGAATACAGTGTAAACATCCCCTTGGGATGCGATTTCTCACTTTTTCTCTCACTATCTGTCTCTCTGGCAAGCGCACATGCTCTATGGCAAAAATCTAAAAAAAAAAAAAAAAAAAAACCTTGAATTTTTTCATTTTTTTAAAAAAAAGTATTGGGACCAGCAGGTGGTATAGTGGTTACATCACTGGACTCCCACATGGTTCACCGTGGTTCAAGTCTCAAACCTGGAGGCATAAACTCACACCAGGCTCAAGTGTGTGCACGCTCAAGATCCCGAAAGGAGACTGGAGGAGAAAGGATTGCAGTGTGGCCATCTCCCCCGAGGACTGATTTCTTGCTTTCTGTCTTTCTGTCTCTCCAGTGAGTGCAAGTACATATAGCAAAAAAGCTTTCTAAAAACACTATATGTGTATGTATATATATATAATACAAATTGAATAAATATCTTTTTATTTTAAGAATTATTTAATTTTGTTTAGTTTTAATTTGAGAGGAGAAAGATAGAGGGAGAGAGAGAAAGGG